GTGGTGGCGGGCCTGTAGTCCCAGCTACTCGGGAGGCTGAGGCAGGAGAATGGCATGAACCCAGGAGGCAGAGCTTGCAGTGAGCTGAGATCGTGCCACTGCACTCCAGCCTGGGCAACAGAGCGAGACTCTGTCTCAAAAAATAAAAATAAAAAAGCCTGTCCTATTTTCCGACATAGTTGCATGTTTAGTGCTCTTCATTCTGTTGTTTGGATCCACATGTCCATAGGGTATCATTCTGTTTCTGTTCAAAGAAAGTCCATTGAACATTTCTTGTATTGGAGGTCTGCTGGTGATGAATTCTTTCAGCTTTCATATGCCTGAAAAAGTGTTTTGCCTTTGTTTTTGAAATACGCTTTCATTTATCTTCCCAGAAAACAATCCATCATGAGAGCCAAGAATAGAAACACAAAACCGATCTTTGATGATTCCAAAGATCTGTTTATCCTTGGACCACAACATATGAAAATGGAAAGCAAATGGTGGAATAACATAAATGACAATAGTAGACATATATAATGTTTACTATATCAGGAAGCAGTATCTATTAGAGGCTCAGCAGCATATTCAAATATAATGTTCAAATTAGGAGGTTTTAATAAAGGGACAATACACAAAGTTTGGGCAGTGTGTAGGGACAATACAATATCCTGGGGCTAGTGACAGTGGGGTTGTTACTATACTAGGCTAGAAGGGTTACAGGAATTCAGAAAGGACTCCTTGAGAGAAGCTGTGACCTGATGATAAGAGATGCAACCAGCCCAAGGCAATCCTTCGGGTGGGAGCTGGGGGAATGAATACACTAAACTCACTCTTCTCCCTCTCACTGATACCATGAGAGGATTTTCACTGGGCCAAACCAAACCAGAAATGTTAGGCAGGAGAGCCCATGATGAAGTACACACAGAAGAGTGAATCAGGGTGCATAGTGGATTTGGAGAAGTAAACAAAAATATCTGGCATAGCACCATTCTAAGTACTTTTTTTTGTTGAGACGGAGTCTTGCTGTGTTGCCAGGCTGGAGTGCAGTGGCGCGATCTCGGCTCACCGCAACCTCCACCTCCCAGGTTCAAGCGATTCTCCTGCCTCAGCCTCCTGAGTAGCTGGGACTACGCGCGCCCAGCTAATTTTTTGTATTTTAAGTAGAAACGGAGTTTCACCACGTCAGCCAGGATGGTCTCAATCTCTTGACCTCTTGATCTGCCCGCCTCGGCCTCCCAAAGTGAGGCGTAAGCCACTGCGCCTGGCCCATTCTAAGTACTTTGGATGTATTGGCACATTGAATCCTCCCCGAAATCCTATTACTTACCATTATTACCCCCAGATAAACAATGAAAGATGAAGGAAAATTCAACTGAACTGTGACATCTTCTGAGAGTTCAGAGAAGACACTGCCTTTGTTACATAAAAATAGGGGTGCTTTAAGTATAGAAAGAGTGATAGAAGAGGCTGGGCGCGGTGGCTCAAGCCTGTAATCCCAGCACTTTGGGAGGCCGAGACGGGCGGATCACGAGGTCAGGAGATCAAGACCATCC